CTTATTCTGGTAAACCACATGTAAATTTTCCTTCATCTACAACAAGTCTAGTCCGGGTTCAAAGCAAAGTCACTTCAGGCACAAATGTCATCCCTAAATCACCAAACAAATCCTCACAATGCAAGACAGCAGTTTCTCCAAAACCTTACCTACCCAAGAACTTCAACCCCTTTTTGTACAGCTCTCCAGGCCACCAAATTGAAAGACTACAAGAACAGCTCGAGTGGAAGGACGAAAACTTGGGAAAAGCAATGGATATGTACAAAGAACGGAAGAAGCTTGTTTTAGAATTGAGAGAGGAACTAGCTGAAGTCAAAAAACAACTGGAACAATGTATCCAGCTACCACCAACAAGTGAGCCTACTGCAGCAAGGCCACAGGCACCACATCATCAGCATCAACAAGCAAGTCCTCCACCACCAGTCCCAGCCATCACCACCACCACTACCACCGCCACCTCAGCACGTGGACAACCTGCACAGAAAGTACCAGAAATAGGTTTGAATTTAAATTCAAATTTAAATGATAGCCCATTGGTCAATAAAGTGCATGAACACACTGCCATCCCTATACACCAAAATGGCAAAAACACAGACTGCCTTCTCCCACACACCCTACACTTCCAACATAACTCACCAAACAATGCTCAACCCCTCCTACTATCAAACCTAACCCATCATATCACTGAAAAAGCTATACCTACCAAGTCAAATGAGCCAACTAAGTCAAATGAGCTAACCAAGCCACATGAACCTACCAAGTCAAATGAGCTTACCAAGTCAAAGAAATGGTCTGAAGTAGTCTCCCAACAAACTAACTTGATGGTCTTAGATTACATTAAACCATCTTCCTTTCACGGTAAGTCTGTCATTAAACCTCCAAAGGAAGTGGCAATGGAAGGCATAAGGTTTTGGCAGGAAACCCATCTCATTGGACTACCTACACACAAAAGACTTCCTTTCAAGGTCATTCAATCTTTAACATCTAAGATATGGAACTCCTATGGACTCACTAACACAATACTTGGAGACAATGGTTCCTACATTTTTAGATTTCGCACCAGTCATGAAGCTGAAAATGTCCTCACAAATGGCCCTTGGAACTTAGCTGGGCACCCCTTCTCCCTCAAGAAATGGAGCCTCCAACCTCCACCACACCTCAGCACAGCTTCATGTATCCCAAATCTGGGTTAAATTCTTCAATATACCTGCCCATTACTGGACAGCAACAAGTCTTAGTCACATAGCTAGCTCAGTAGGGGTCCCCTTTTATGTAGATCAAGCAACAGTGAGTAGAACTAAACTCAAATATGCAAGAATCTGTGTTGATATTGACATCTTGCAGCCCCTTTTAACTGAAGTTGAACTCATAATGGAGGATGATAAAATTGAAAGAATTGGTATTGAGTACCAATGGCTGCCTAAAATATGCAAAAGGTGCAACAAGCTCAACCACACAGAGTTCTCATGCCCACTGAATGTCTGACCACACCCCTGTAAGGGATAATAGCCCAGCCCCCAAAAGCCCCTCAAATGACTGGATTACTGTCAGGAAGAAAAGAAGGCAGACTGGGAATAAGGCTCCAGCAAATGATTCTCACACCAATAATTGATTTTCCCCTCTTCTACAAGCCAACCATGACACTACTCCACACCAATCTCCACAACATTCCCCATCACATGTATCTCCAACCCCCCCCCCCCCCCCCCCATATTTACCTTCCAATCACTCTACCTACTCCAAGCTACAAGATAATGGTAATGTATCCAAATCACCTCAAAGATCAGGATCTCAAAATCCTAAAGTCCTAGTGAGAACACAGCCATCATCTTCATGCTGTAAAAAGCTATGCTACTCAAACCATAATAGCCCCACATCAAACACTGCATCCTCATCCACCATCCCAACTTCACCAACAGCCACACCTGTGAAGGTTCACACAATCCCAAGAAACCAAGATCATCATAGTGCTCCTAAGCTCAATCCAAGAACATACACAACCACCACATCACTAATTACAACACCTGCGTAGTTTCATTCTGGCCCAAGAGACCATGATCATCACAGTGCTCCAAGTCAGACCCCAAGAAGATCCACAGTCAGACTTATGAAGTCTCAAACAAGAAGAAACAAAAGCCATAGCCCAGGTTTGATATCTTATGAGTCCCATGGGATTCAAAGGTGTCTAGATCCCTCACTTCCCACCACTCCTCAATGATTTCCATCCTAGCATGGAACATCAGGGGGCTAAACATGCCCTCTAGACAGGCTGAGATCAAGAAGATGATCTCTGAGAAGAAACTAAATATACTATCTATTATAGAAACTAAAGTCTCCCCAGTTAATGTGGATGCAATCCACAACAAAATTGCAGCTCACTGGCACCTTGTCCACAACTACTCTTTCTCATAGCTTGGTAGAATATGCGTTATGTGGAATCCCAATACCATTGATCTTGATGTTGTATGTACAACTAAGCAATCCATCCATTGCTCTATACCCATCATTGACCAAAATATCACCTTTTACTCCTCTTTCATTTATGCTTCTAACTTTGCAGTGGAAAGACTTTCCCTATGGGAGGATATCAACCACCATTCTACTCTATTTGGCAACTCCCCTTGGTTGGTTATGGGAAATTTCAATATCATCTCTAATTCAGGTGAAAAGAATGGTGGTTCTGTTACATGGAATCCAGCCATTAATGCCTTCTGTGAATGCTTACAACAAGCTGAACTTGAGGATCTTAGGTTCATTGGCATTTTATACACCTGGAATAACAAAAGTTTTGGCTTAGCCTGCATTGCCAACAAGCTTGACAGGGCCCTCATCAACAAACAATGGAACACCTCATTTCCAAGATCAGAGTGCATCTTTCTCACCCCTGGAGTATCTGACCACAGCCCCATTCTAGTTACAATTGATACTAACTCCCCCACAAGATGTTTACCTTTCAGGTTCTTCAATGCATGGTGCTCTCACCCTCTATTTCTACCATCAGTTCAGAGTGCTTGGAACCATTATATTCCCGGGACAGCTATGTTCCAAGTGGTTAAAAAGCTGAAATCTCTAAAGCACATTCTCAAAACCAACTGCAAGGTGGACTTCTCAAATGTTGATTCCAAGCTACAGGCAGTTAAAATGGAGCTAGATACATGTCAAAAGGATCTTGATATTTCCCCAAGTGATACTCAACTCAGACTGCTTGATCTCTCTCTTACTTAGGAGTACACAAGACTTTCAGATCTTCAAGAATGTATGCTCAAGCAAAAATCCAGAATGGTGTGGCTTAAGCTTGGGGACTGCAACTCATCCTACTTCTATAAATCAATTGCCTCTAGAGTTAACAGGAAGAAGATTTGTAGCTTAACCAGTGCAGATGGGATTCGACTTGATAATGCAGATGGAATTATTCATGAAATTGTCTCACACTTTCAGAATCTGTTTGGTACAAGCCCTCCAACTACCCACACTCAAGCTGAACTCTCAAGAGTCAACACTAAGGCAGTACCCTCACATCTTCATCAGATTTTGGATTCTATCCCATCTCCACATGAGATACAATCTTGCATGCTATCTCTAAATAAGGACAAAGCTCCAGGCCCTGATGGCTACAATGCCATGTTCTTCCACCAAGCATGGAGCATTGTAGGTAATTCAACAATTAAGGCCATCTCTGAGTTTTTCAGAAATGGTAAGCTGCTAGGCGAAGCTAACTCTACATACATTTCCCTTGTCCCAAAGTGTCAAAACCCCTCCACCATCAATGATTACAGACCTATTTCATGTTGCAACACCATCTACAAATGTATCTCAAAGCTTTTAGCTAATAAGCTACAACTGGTTCTCCCTCACATCATTAATCACACTCAAACAGCCTTTGTTCAAGGCAGGAAGATTACTGACTCAGTATTACTCACTCATGAGCTATTGAGAGGTTATCACAGAGACATTCCCCCTCCAAGGTGTGCTATTAAGATTGATCTTAAGAAGGCTTTTGACTCAGTTAAATGGGAGTTTACACTGGACTGTCTTTCCCATCTCAACTTCCCTCCAAGATTCATCAAGCTAATCCAAGCATGCATCACATCTCCATCCTTCATTGTTGCTATTAATGGAGAATTCAAGGAGTTTTTCAAAGGGAAAAGAGGCTTAAGACAAGGTGATCCTATTTCCCCATTTCTATTTGTCATTATCATGGATATTTTTACTTCAACTGTTAAGAATATTATTTCTAGAACCCCTAGATTTAGATACCATTGGAGGTGCAAAGAGCTGGGTATCACCCATCTCTCATTTGCAGATGATCTTTTTCTCTTTTGCCATGGTGACATTACATCTGTATCCATCCTAAAATCTGCCTTGGACCACTTCTGCACTATGTCAGGACTCTCCATCAACTTGTCCAAAAGCTCAATATTCCTCTCAGGGGTAGACCCCTCTACTGAAGCAGTTTTCTCAAACCTACTAGGAATTAATACAGGTTATCTCCCTATTAGACACTTGGGGGTTCCTCTAATCTCAACCTGTTTAAAGGCAGCTGACTGTAGGCCTCTAATTGAAATGATCACCCACAGGATAACTCATTGGACCTCAAGGTCACTATCCTATGCAGGTAGGCTATAATTGATTAAATCTGTCCTAGTCTCCACCCAAGTCTACTGGTCAAGTATATTCATCATTCCTGAAGGGGTTTTTGATGAGATCAATAGAATACTCATGGCATTCCTTTGGTCTGGCATTGAAATGAAGTCCACAAGTGTCAAGATTGCTTGGATGGATATTTGTAAACCTAAGGAGGCAGGAGGTTTGGATATCCCTAACTTGGTCTAACAGACAATTCAGATAGAGTTTGGATTAAATGGTTTAAGACTTACCTCATCAAAGGCAAGAACTTGTGGGCTTTAGATATTTTTCAATCTTGCTCCTAGAGTTGGAGGAAACTCCTTCAACAAAGGCACCATACTAGAAACTTCATTAAGCACCAAGTTGGAAATGGCATGTCTACTTGTTTCTGGTACGATAATTGGCTTCCTGCTGGACCATTGAGCACTCAATTCCCTTCCCAAATCCTCACTACAGCAGGTTTAGACCTTTCAACCATAGTAAGCCACTTCATTTCTGATGGAACTTGGAATTTCCCTGCATCAATCTCTTCGGCAATCCCAGAACTCCTTGCACTTGGTGCTCCAAATAATTCAGGGAATGACAAATTGATTTGGGCAGTCTCACCATCTGGAAGTTTCAGCCACAAGCATACTGTAGCTCTCTTATCACCTTCTTCTCCATCGGTTTCATGGTTCAACTTGGTTTGGAGATCTCCAGCAATCCCACGAATGAAATTCATTATGTGGCTAGCTGTTCAAGGTCGCCTCCCCACTTTGGATAGAAAATCAATGGCTAGATTTGACAATGTATGTGCTCTGTGTAATGTCAACACAGAATCTCATTCTCATTTGTTCTTCTCATGCAAGTATACTTCCCCAATTTGGACTTTCTTCAAGGAGAAATGTAAGATTTCTATTACAGCTTTGACATGGTCGGAAATTGCTTTAGTCTTTAGCATCCAGTGGTCTTCTCCATCACCATGGAACCTACTTAAAAAGCTCTGCCTCGCAGCTCTGGTATATCACATTTAGGAGGAGAGAAATGCCCATATCTTCCGTGGATCGAAGTTATCACAGAATTCAATTCGGGCAAGGATTTCCCACACTATCACCTCTATCATGAAATTAGGGATCTTCAGGGATTCCATTGCTGCGCATCACATTTTTAAGGACTGGGATCTTTCGCCGTCTTGTTGCCGGCCACCGCCACGTCCACCTGATTGAAGATTTGAAGCCATTGTGCTTCGATCGCTGCAAAAGCCAGTTCACCGAATTTGTATCAGATCCACCATTAACGGCTAATTAGCCGTTAATTGATGGTTTGTTGTTGATTTCTTTGGGCCTGGCCCGTGTATCTGTTGAGCCTTTGGGCTTTTGGTTTCCATCATGTATGGGTTGTTTGGGCCAAAGGCCTCACATGTACAGCTCCTTTATTTATTATATATTAACTTCATTTTCCCAAAAAAAAAAAAACCTACTGAACAAGAATGGAGATAAAACCGGTCTAAAAGATCTATAGATTTTGTACTCCTTATCCTTGTGCTTAATAAGGTCTGGTAGTGTTTCCAGCGTGGAAGGGCTGGCACTTGCCTCCCACCTTGTGGTCTTGAGTTCGACTCTCCCCGGAACTCCTAATTACTAACACACTAACCATTGCTAAGATAAAATAATAAATAAATAAATAAGTAGTCAAGCTTAATCATTTTTTATTTTATTTTTGTTATTGGTAAGAAACATATGTACACACCACTTACACACTCACTTTGCTCATTTGGAGACTCAATTCCTCACCATTTACTTTGAAATATTGAAAAGATACAACTGGATTACAAGCCCTTGGTAAGCTTAATCAATAAATAAGGGTGTTAATACAATTATTGAGTAAAGACATAACAATTAGTTGATTTGTTATGAAAAATGTTTTACGAAAATAGATGGTGGTTGATAAAGTAATTAATTAAACTGATTAGAAACTGGTCCACTGGAAACTACATGCTCTTTCTAAACAATAAGTCGAACAGTTGTTCAGTCCCATCAAAATTTAACTAATTATGGGCCTAGAATTGGCTCAGAGGGAAATAATAAGTGTTTACTCCTCCCTCCCAAATTAAATTATTCTTTTTTAAAATTTAATTTTTTAAGAGAATGGATTTAAATATTTTTTTAGGGTGGACACTCCACTTTTACACTATTGTACTCTAATTTTAAAGAAAATGATACTTCTAACCCTTATAATTATTATTTTTTCAAATACCATAATTATCCTTTTCAGTTATGATAAGATTTTTATTTATTTATTTATTTATTATTATTATTATTTTTTATCTCCCCTCTCTTTTCCAATTATCATTTTTGGTATCTTGTGTTTTATAATACCCTTAATTTCTGGAGATTTATTTAAGTGTTTTAGTTCCTTTTTATTTAATTATGTGGCTATTTGATTATTTGCTTTTATATTTAATTATGTGGTTAGTTTTTTATTTGTTAGTTGTTTTATTTATTTTTATTTTGTTTAATTTAAATTTATTGATGTAGCTAATATTGAATGTGCATTCTTTTATTTGATTTCTTGTGTGATGTGTTTATTTAATTAATTTACTTTAAATGCTTAATTGTGTAGTTACATGTTTACTTTATTTTATTTTATTTTTTATTTTAAGGAGATGGATTTCGATTGTAGTACTTGGACCAACTAGATGGGTCTTAAACTATTTGAAATGGATCCTAATTGGGTTGGAAATTGACCCATAGGGATTTACACACACTCACACACACACACACACACACATATATATATATTATATTTTATTATAATAATTAGTTATTTTATGTTTTGTCAAACGTGTGTTAGGACTAGGGTTATATGTAGTGTATAAAAGAAGAGAGAGGGACGAGAGAAGGATAGAGAAAGCTAGAGGAAGAAGAAGAAGAAGAAGAAGATGAGATCCGTTTGTGGGTAGATCGGATCAACGGGGTAGAGGACGGTAATTCGAAGGTTGCTGGCATTAGAGAAGAAGAATAAGGAAGAAGGAGTTTAACTTTTGATCCGAAAGCTTAAGATGTAATACCCCTAGTTTTCAAAAGGATAAAATGGGAATATTTTGGTTTGTTTTTCATTTTTATTTAAATTATTAGACTTATTTGTTATTTGGTTAAATTAGTTGTTTTATTATTATTTGTGTGTATTTAATTTAATTGTTGTATTGTAATTGTTTATGTATGTTAAATTAATTATTTATCTGTTTTATGTTAATTGGCTGGGTTGCTTTAATTATTGTTTTAATTTAATTGTTTTTTTTTTAAAGTATGATTAAATGACGTATGTTTTAATAGGACTTATTTGGTATATATTGATTAAATGACGTATGTTTTAATAGGACTTATTTGGTATATATTTTTTGTATGGTTATATAGGATTAGGGTTTTCTTTTATAGAGATAAATAAGCCGACTTATAGTTAGCTAGGAATTGGAATTAGGTCTTAGTAAGTGCCTATATATATAATCTTATATGTCTGTTAGGGTTAGGAAAACAAAACCCTTTTCACGTATTGTGAGATAGAGAGATACAGAGACATGTAATGGGTGTTTGAGGGAAAAACAGTGAGGCGCTTAAAACTGATAGAACCACCAGATGGGATTTCAGCCATGGACTGTGGGTTGAACCAAGGAAGGATAGGAGTGTTGTTTGTATGAGGAACCAAGGAGGAAGCAAATAAGTTAGAACAGTGCGGGATCGCCGGAAAATCTAGGAATACGGCGTAGGGATTTTAATCCAAAAATCTCAAAGGCAAGTTTCATTTTGTCTCCTTCCTATAAACTTGTGTTCTGTGCATTCTATATAGTCTCCAGGGATTAATTCAACCTTTAAAACTAATAGTTGATGCATGTTATATTAGATTGTAACCTGTTTTACGTTTAAAGAACTAAAATTGGGTCTTTCTCAAACTGTGTTGTTTTGATTTAAACTTCTGTTAATCAAGTTCATAATAGAATTTGAGAAGTTTCTATGATTGTTGGGACTTGTATTGAACCTTAAGAACTTTAAGGAAACTTGGAGCAGAGGAGTGGTCTTCACCGGAAGCGAAGAAGATAAACAGAGGAAAAGAAAATTGTTTCGGTTGAAGCTTTGTTAATAAATTCATATTGGAATATGTAGGGTTTCTAGGACTTTAGGAACTTGAATAGAACCCTAGGAATGTTAAAAAGATTTGGGATAGGACATTGGGCTTCGTCGGAAGAGCAGACGACAACCGGACGAAGCAGAAACGAAGCAGTGAAGCAGAGAGGGGCTCTCAGGGGTGAGAGCCGGCTCCTAAATGGTGGGAGCCGGCTCCCATGAAGAGAGAGCCGGCTCTCCATGAGGGAGAGCCGGCTCTAGAAGCCTAGGAGCCGGCTCCAATAAAGGAGAGCCGGCTCCCATGGAAAAAAAACCCCTACGGGTGTTTTCTGCAATTTTTCTGAAGTTCAGGGGCTTAAAGGTAAATACTGGAAAGTGATAGGGGGTTTTTAATGATTAAAATTAACTTGTTAAAGCCTTCAAATAGTTGGTTTATGCTAAGGTGCTAAACCTAAATGCATGTCATAAAACATAAGCTTATAATAGGCCTACTGTCAAGGAAGGAGGAATGCTTGTTTTGCCAAGTTGTTTTGACAACTTAATTTGGACTGACATTGTAATTATTGTTAGAATTTATATCAATGATATATTTAGCATAGTTCAGTTCCAGGAATGTTGGTTATGACATCATGTACTCGTATCTAATAAGTTGTATATTGTCGGGAGTAGTGGAAGGTTAGTTGCTAGTTTCGTGTTAGCAAATTAAATGAAACTGGTATAAAATACTTTTTGAAGTTTCATATGATATACTTAAACTTTGGAGTGTCATTATATCCGACACAGAATTTATAATGGGGAATTACATAGATGCCAGGAGATTTAATTATAAATTTGTATGCCGTAAAGGATATGGGAGGATTTAAATGCTAGTCGTCATTTTAACATTTTAAACGAATTAGTATGGATGTGTTGTTTTGGAATTCTAGTATAATGTGCAGTTTAAAATTCTGATATTCATTATATTATGTTATGAAGGATAATTGCTGAACTGTCTTAATTTCTGTTCTGTCAATTACATGGAAATGGATGGTTTAAATTGTTTATTCTTATTTTAACAATTTAAAAGGAGGTTCTATGAATATAATCATATACTGGATGCATGATAGGAGCTTATCTATATCTGATTTCTATTATGTTGGTTCTGGATATACTTGATGTTCATTTTGAGTGTGCATCATGTGTGGATCATATGCATTATATGTACCGGTATGGAACGGTGACATATCAAGGATGGATTAGATCAAAAAGCTAAGTCCTACCCCTTTCATACATACGGAATGGATTAACTAAAATAGTTAAATCCTACATGGATGCATGTCCTGTCAACTAAAACAGTTGAACGACATAACGGATGTTTGTTTTATTTTTCTGCATTAGGAAAGAATTTATATATATATTTATGGTACCGTGATACGAGCTTGAGTCTCCTGATCACGGTTAGGGTGCGTATATTGCAAAGGTTGAGTAGCTAGATATAACTAATGTTCCCTGGTAGGTCTAGGTACTTGGCCGCTGAAAAGCGTGTTTTATATGTCACCTTCTACCCAGGCTGAACTATGTTATAGGCTAGTGAGCATCCTATAGTATGTATTTATATATCTATGGACTATTGTAGATATTGCCGAGCTATCTAGGATGTATCTGCGTATTGGGTTTATGTACGGATTGTAGTAGGATGGAACTTGCATGTGGGCCTAACCCACCTTTATTTTTCAGGTGTTCGTGAGTACCAGGCTTAGGGTTTGATCGTGGTGATGCAGATACAGTCACTCACTCTTCCGACTAAATAGGATTTTTCTTTCTGGTTTTAGTTTTGGATTTTATTCTGTAAAGTTTTATCAGTTGAGATTATTAGGGGTCCACTAGTTGGATTCCCGAGTTGTACGAATTGGAAAGTTAATTTATATTAAAACTTTTATTTTTGGAGGTTTTACAATTAGAATTCTTTTCAGCATATCATTATTTTATTCTTAATTCAGTTTTATTCCTGCTTGTTTATATATTGATTGTCTGATATCCTTTGGATCTGTGCCCAGACTTGATCACCCGTGGTTCTAGAATCGAGGGGTATCACATAAGGCAAGTCATCTATTCTACACTTCTCCCTTAGATTTATGTTCTGTATATCTCTAGTTTAACTTTAAGGATTTTTAAAGGATTAATAAAATCTGTGTTCATGTTTAAATTGATCTAGAACATAGGTTTTGTGAATATTTGTTCATCTTTGTACATGTTGAATGTTTTGGTAAGGTAAAGGCTTAGATCTACTTTAAATGGATTTTTACATGTTAAATTGATGATAATTCGTTCATGGATGGTTATGGGACTTAGTAACATACTTTAGGGGTAACATGCTTTAGGACCCTTAACAATGAAGAACAGGGCTAAAAGATGGAGTTCTCGAGTTGTTTCCCGAAGCAGCACTCGAGTTCTGTTTTATAGGGCTCGAGCGCCTTTTTCTAGGAAATAGCGCTCGAGCGCTATTGGTTAGCATTAGTGCTCGAGCCCAGTACGGAAGGCGCTCAAGCGCTACTGTGTGGTTTTGGACAAATGTGTTTCATTTATTCCCGATTTGATTATTTAAGGTCTCAAACAAAATATATGGACTTAAGAACAATGATATGTGATTTAAAAAGGCATGATGGTAACGATGCATGTTAATGGGATTAATTCAATCATGAATTTGTAAATTTAATCTTTAAAATTGTTTTAACATATGAGATTAAATATTTAACATGAGATAAGATTGTGAAGCTTTTAATTGGCTGTAAATATAAATTATTAGCATGCGTATGGTTCTGTTTATGTTGAGATAATTGATGTAGGAAGTTTTAAATAACTAAAAGTGATTCCTGAGATTTAATAACATTAAATTGTATGTTATTTACTGCTATGCGATGATGTGATTTTAATCTGGTGCATAGCTATGTTTTATGATCTTCAACATGATCTATATTTGTGGAATGTTGGAACCATTGTCAAGATATGGTTCTATGTCATGACATTGTCAGGATATAAATAACATGCCGTTGTTAGGATATGGTTATTTTAATTTATATGTTTACAACCCATTGTTAGGATATGGGTATTGTTGTTATTGTTGATGCGCCATTGTCAAGATATGGGTACTTATATTTATAATAATATTATATGTACCATGATACGAGTTTGAGGTCTCGTGATCAGTGGTTAAGAAGGACGCGTATATTTCCAGTTGAGATGGGTAGCTGGATTTTAGGGATGTGTGTGCCCTGGTAGAAGTAGGACTCATGACTACCTCGTGTGTGCTTTGCATGAGATACTCACTATCCGGTTGAGTCTGTCTTAGTCCAATGAGAGTCTTTACTGTATATATTTATATTTATCGATTATGTAGATATTTCATGAGTTAGCTATTTATGTGTAGTTCATCAGGTCTCTGTTTGGGTTGTCGTAAAAAGGACTTATTCGTGGGTTTTGACTCACCTTGTTATATTTGTTTTTTAAGTCCTCGTCAGTAACAAGATTAGAGGTTGCTCGTACAGAGACTTGTCTTCATCACTCTTCGGGTGTCATCGACGTAGGATTCTACTTCGTGATTATTTATTTAAGTTTTAGACAATTATATTTATTTTAGTCATGGGATTTTTAGTAGGGGTCAATGTTGGAAGATTCCCGAGTTATATTTTGGAGAATAAATTATATTTGAGAGTTTGTTATAATTTATTCTTCAGAGGTTTATTTATATTTGGAAATTAATGGATTTATTCAGGGGAGTTATTATTTACTTATTGTTTCCTTCTGCGATATTATTTCTTTATTATTTATCTTTTTGTATTATTATTCGATAAAAAATATTAATTGCCTGATATTTCTCTCGCTTGAGAGCGCAAACTTGATCAACTTGTGTGCCTGAATCGTTGGTTATCAAACGTTTTTTTGTTAACCCCTCTTATTCTCTCGCCTCCGGCCCTTTTTAACTCTTTCTCTGTACGGATTATTAACTCTCTTCTATCTCTCGTTAGGGATATTGATCTTTGTAAATAATAATGAAAGATTTCACAAATGAAAATATAATAGAGTTAACGATGTAATTGATCTTATTAGCATAAAACATTTAATAACTATTAAAACATTAAACTCCTTTGATGATAATAGTGATAGGAATGGTAAATTGTTCTTCTGAAACTTTTTCTTTCTTTTTTTTCTTTTGAATTAACGTTTAGATTTTTTTTTTCCTTAAGTTGGAGGGTAAGAAAGTGCAGCAAACAAGCTTCTGAGTTCAAAAAAGTTGGTTTAAATTCAAGCTTTTAACGTTCTTGGAGATGACTTAAAATGTATCGAAATAGTAGACAAGGAAAATAATATTAGCGTTCCTTAAAAAAAGGCCTTTTAACATTCCACTTCCTTTGGTATTTAGAATTATGAAGCAGAGTGACATTATATTTCTTGCTTCCGTGCGTTATAAAAAGAAATGTTAACGGTTGGATTCAAGACACAACACCGGGGATGTCAACAAGGGACTGAGGAAATTTTAGGACACTGGGTTGATCTGCAACCCTACCCTAGAGCCACCCAACCCAACTGGCCAAAACAAGAACGAGGTTAGAGCTCAAACTGGATCGCAAATTACATCACTATTTGGCTTGAATAATGCCATCAAAAAGTCAATACACTTGATCTTTCATCAGAATCCTCTAAATTAAAGCCTCTCAGAGCTTAATCCATTTACTAGGATCAAGTTAGACAGAACTGGAAAGTTAGGGAAAATAATAAAAGAGGGCAATGTTGGTACCAGATAACTTTGAATATGTTATCGCCATGTATGTAGTGGTTCTCTGTTGCCAAATAACACAACTACAACACAAGAAACATGATCAAGAACTTAAATTCATTTGTGCCAAATAACACAACTACAACACAAGAAACATGATCAAGAACTTAAATTCATTTGTGACAGACAAATAACAGTACAAAACTCCTATATATCACCATCCGGAATATAATCCGAAATCCGCAATAACAGAAGCTCGAGCATGAAATCCGTCCAAGGAACTCTTGGGATGCCAATCCATATCAACTTGCACGCACAACAAAAACCCACCTCATTTACTCAAATGCGTCATCATCATCGTCAGGAAGAGGTTGACTTGCAGCTGCGGCGAGTTCAGCTTCATGCCTGTAAAAATAAGTCAATAGTAAGTTCAAATATATTACTACCAAAACAAAATTTAGATTATATTCTACCAGAACAGCGAACCATTTTAAATCCAATTTTTTGTACAAAATACTCCAAACAGTTATCACAAGGTTGCAAGAAGTTTAGTTCCCAAAATCTTTTTGTTTCTTTACAAAGAAACAAACATACGGTACCTGCACTCACTTCAATGAGCACAAAACCTAGACACAATTCTTTACAGAGTACCAAATCAGATCTCTACAGTCCTTGCGCAATTAAAAATTGAGAAATTATTAGATGGTACGTGACCATTAGTCCTGGCCAATCACAAGCTGTCACACAACTGCTGAATAACGACTACACATTTGGTAGTGAGGCTTAAAAATTACATATCCCAAAAAGAAAAATGCTATTGAGGATGTGCAGCGCCAGGCCGCCAAAATCATTTAGTAAGAATATTTCCCGTTTAAAAAAGACAGCCAAAGGAAGCTAATTCTAAACAGGGTTTATCTTTCTTTTTTTGGTTAGTTTACCCCTCTTGGGGCTTTAGCACTCTACCTCGCCTACGGGAAGGTGGAGGTCATACCACCCAGGCCAAAGCATGGTGAGTTTTAAAAGGGTGGTTTAAAAAATATTGCAATCGCTACAAAGCGCACAAATTCTTGGTTGTAATAAAAAGCTTACTGTTGCTGTGCAGCCATGTCAATGTGCACTTCTGGAGGAGCAAGGGCAGGAGACTCCACAAAATGCAAGTTAGGATCCCTACAACCACCAAGAAGATGTTTTGAATGCCTTAAACCTTCATTCTGGCTAACAAAGAGCAATATAATTATTTAATGGAATAAATGAATCTACCCCGCAAGTTTCCTGGCAAGATACAGAAAAGGCTTCTCAAAATTGTAATTGCTCTTTGCAGATATCTCATAGTACTGCAAATTCTTTTTCCGGTGGAAAGTAACCTGTTTTGCCTTTACTTGCCTGTTCTTCACATCAACCTTGTTTCCACAGAGTACAATCGGGATATTCTCACAAACCCTGTGATTAGCAAAACGAAGTATTCAAAATATTTTAGTACTTCCCCTTGAAAGAGTCAAGGTGGTCAACTTAAAAAATAATAAAATAGGAATTTCTGACACACCGGCAAAGATCACGGTGCCATGTTGGAACATTCTTGTACGTCAACCGGGCAGTTACATCAAACATGATGATAGCACACTGACCATGGATGCTGCACATGGTACAATTTTTTATCACAATAGTTAAAAACGAAGATGGCACACTGTAGATTCAAAGGAGAATCTACAGTCCTTGAAAACAATCATCTTCATGACATGGGAGTGAATTAGTAACAGATGAAATAAAATTGAATAAAATATATAGCATGAATAGTGTTGTATAGGCTCTACAGGTATCCTAGGCACCAACAGAAAGCCATAACTGACTGTTCAGCAAATATCAACCAAGAATATCAATGCCTTTTATTTTAGTTTCAGGGAAACCATTTCTTTCTGTAAACAAATTATATAAATTTCCAAGTAGACAGAACTAAATGCTCCAGGATTCCTCCCAAACACTTGGAACTCGGACCATAGAACTTAAAATAAATCAAAGTAAACTAAAACTTAAAAGGAAAAAAAAAAAAAAAAAATCTTCTAAACATGAAAACAAAGCAAAATAAATAAATAAATTGGTTCCATCAATTAACATTCAGAGATACATATTATAGACAATATTCAATTCTTGGACTAAAAACGCTATTAGTACACAAAATAAAAAATTGACGGAAATCTAAATATATGTACCAAAAAATAATAATTATAAAACAGAAGGAAGGAAATAGAGGAGATAGATATAAATACAAGTACAGAAAATATAATATGACGAAAGAGAATCCAGACAACCTCTTGAAAAATACAAAAACCCAAGTGTTACAATCTGCAAGGAAACATCGGACAAACATATTGGTAACTCAGGCAACAATCATCTAATCTACTTGAGAATATTTTTTAAAAAAAAAAACCCAAGTGCTAGCATTTTTAGTCCAACACCACCTTCTTAATCATCTTCATCTTTAATCACAATTATCTTTGAGCACTATGTGCATTTCCTCAGAACAGTCAAAAGTTGAGGTGAGCAGATGAGAGAGAGGGATAGTGAGAGCACAAACTAGGCAAGTGGAGAAAATAAGGAGATTTTAGCAAGTGTACGACGGTAAACTTAATTCTCTTAATTTTTTATTTTAAAACTACTCAAATAATTGAAGGGTAAAAATACCAATCAACTATCTAACTTAATGCCATACTCTAACCGGGTGTGTGAGAGTAATTGAGTAATTTTGAGCGGAGTTTAATCTATGGTTGAAAAACCTAAACCTCAAGGGAGATCAGGGAATATTCACCCATAAAGCCATAAAATTATTAAAGGGTAAGAATGTCAATCAAATATATATAATTAAACGTCATTTATCCGGAAAAACTCTAACATGACTGATTTAGGGAAAAGTTTAATCTATGGGCAAAAAGTCCAACCTTAGGGGTGGTCAGGTTAATTCACCCAATAATAAAATGAATGTTCGTCTCAGGGGCTGTTCGGCTTTATGTGTTGTCAAAAAAGTGCTACCTATAGAAGATGAAATAGTGTTTGGCAACATAGTATGTAAAGCAATTTTTTATATGTTGTCTGTTGATTAGCATAATAAAATTAGTTTTTTTAAATAATAATAAGAATCAGCATTTAAACTTTAAAGTTGCTCGCTCTGACACACATTAAAAAAAAAAGGTAAAAATTGATTTGAATTTTCACATCCTCTAAAGAGTAGGCAACCAGTGAGGCAAAAGAATATTAAATTATCACCATAACAAAACAAACCAGCACAACTACAATCTTCATATTTCTACCAACTAATAAATGTTTGCTAATCAAGTACACAAAAAAAACCATTCAAAGAAGCAACCAAAGCAAATGACATTAATTTATAAATTGACATATTAGAAAATCTTACAATAACATCGTTAAATGCTAGAAACAAATATCACCAGAATAAAATTTAGTATCAAAATCCAGCTACCAATTTGGTAATGATTTTTAAAAAGAAAATGATATTTTCCTACCGCTTGGATGATGATTCAAAAATAAAAATTATAAAGAAGGAATTCACCACAATATAAGAAAAGTCAATCCAATAAAATATTTTCAAATACATGGTAGTAATCAATTGAATTACTATATTAAAATATATAAAAAATTATAATAATAATAATAAAATAAAAATCCAAAAGTCATATAAATAGAACAAACATAGGTACTTACTAGTAGCCATCCCTAAGGCCACCGAATTTCTCCTGCCCAGCAGTGTCCCAACAATAAAACCGAATTTTCCCACAGTTAGTGAAGAAATCCAATGGATGAACTTCCACGCCTATGGTGGCTATTCATGATTGAAAAGAATATCATCAGCTTCACACAAAAAAACAATAAACCCAAAAAAAAAAAAAAAAAAAACAAAAACCAGTCTCAAAAAATGAACCATTTTCAAACAGGCGCTTACGTTCATATTTCTTCTCAAATTCCCCTGTAAGATGTCTCTTCACAAATGTTGTTTTCCCTACATCATGCAAACACTTTGTTCTTAGCACTCAAAAAAAGAAAAAAGAAAAGAACAAACAATAATAAATTAGCAAACAAATTATAGATCCAAAAATCGCCAAAACTACAAAGCATAATCCTTTGAACAGAAACAATACACAACAAAATCAGAATATCCAGAACAAATAAACTTAAACCCTAAACACAATCATGTAACACAATCACAAGTTTAAGCGTCAAGAAAACTAAATATAAATATAGAAAACGGAACTTTAAATTTCTTGAATTTAAACAAAAATAATAATGAAATAACACATCTTAATAGAAAGTTGTCCATCACAATCTGATGAAATGCATGTTTATGTTTCCTAATCTCTCAATCATTTGACCTTTAACATCTATTTCCCCAGATTTCCTAGCAACCAAACAGAAAATGAAAGCACCTCAAGAAAAGTAAAAGAAATTAAAATACCTGTTCCACCATCACCAACAATTACAAGCTTGAAACTCGGATAATCAACAGTTTGCTGATTCGGCAATGCCTGAAAAAAAAAAAAAAAAAAAAAAAAAAAAAAAATTCGATTAAAACTAAAGAACAGCTGTAACAAACTAGGGCTCCGTTCGTTGTTGATGCAACAATTTCTCTGTAAAATTGAGATCATGCATGAAACTGAAAAGAGAATGAGATGGAAATAGTGAGAATGATAGAGAAAATACATGAAACTCACCATTGTTTAGCTCTCTAAAAATGTGCGAACAGTATAGAATATAGATATATGGAGAGAGACAGAGAGAGAGTTGAAATGAAGGAGGTGTGTAAGGTTTTGCTATGAAATGGTTGTCCACTTCACAGTTAGCTTTAAGCTAACGCGATTATCTGGACCGTCCGATCTAATAAATCTATGATGGATCCACCGAATGAATCACATGTGAATCACTTGACTTTGTGGGTGGGACCGGTTGTCTAATGGGTTTTGCCTTGCCTTGTTGGTAAGTTTTGAATTTTGAATCTTGGCACTTTGACCAATCCCATATGTTAGCCCAAATTGGGGTTTAGTTACAAACCTACCACCAAACAAATTTACAAATCTCATTAAATATCACTATTTTTTATGGGATTTAAAACGCTATGTAGTATTTCAATTTCTCTTAAATCAAACTTCATTTCTTATTTTTTGTTATTTCAAACCACTAAGAAATTCATTTTAAATTTCAAAACCTTGTTCAACATGGTAAAAAAGAGAAAATATATCTATCCTAAATCACTACGTAATATTTCAAATTCTCTTAAATCAAACTTCATGTGTGTATATGTGTGTGTGTGTGTGTTTTTTTTTTTTTTTTTTTCAAATTCCCCATGCTGTGGTTGCATGCACAACTTAATTACAACCAAAACTTGGACGTTTTATTTTTTTAACCTTTAAATATGAACTTACAGATACTTGGATGAAAAAATTTGTTGGAAATGATCCATTTCTATGAAAATTTGACTCAGAAAGGATCTTGTTCTTCCTATTAGGTTGATGTCTTAATAAATTCAATGTTAAATCACATATTACGTTTCCGAATCAATACTTTGAATTTGAGATTAGAAAGAATTTAAATCAAATCTTATTTACACCCGAACATAAGATTCCACCCTCACTCTCTCCACTCGAATTGGTGCTCTGCAAGCAAATCTTTTTTACAACACATTCAGCCATAAACTAAATTCCTGTATTAGCACCAGCTTATTCACATGAACATACAAGATTATCTCAATAAACAAACTTTTTCACTCTTCTACTGTAAATACAACACCAAACCTTTAATATGAACTATTACGACTCGCAAGTGCAAATTGATCACTGATAAATAAATACATATTTTAATAAACAAATAAAATGTCAGGCCATTTATGTTCCAAAAACAATATACTCCAGTGAGGAAATTTCACTCTAAGAGCATTCGGGGCGCATATAGTTTTAGAGAAATAGTGTGTCAGTGTAGAGAGAGAGGGGGGCGGTATGCATAAACAAATGGAGTGTCTTTTTTGTGAGTCCTACAATCACTATCTATTGGGTTCTTTACCGACGAAATAGTGTTTGGTGTTTTATTGGCTCCTATCTTATATCCATTTGTTACTTTTTGTGATCCCACACACCATTCTCTCTCACTTTGATTTCTAAACCTCATTAAAACAAATTAAAATATTAAAGCAGATAATCAAACACTGAACTGCACAGCATGGAACCAAAAAAATAGAGTGCCATGTTATCATATTTTATTAAAATATGCCATGTGTCACCCCACTTTGCTTTTAAGTAGATGGATAATGTGTGCCAAGCACACTGGTTGCTCTAAAGGAAATTCATTCTATATATAAATTATCATTTCTCAATCAACTGTGTAAAAACAACAGTACTACACTTCAACAAGGTAAATGAACTACAAACGATTCATTCATATATGCTTCCTCTGGCAAAATTTTACTCAATTGTGGATAGGATCAGACAGTAACATTGATATCCTCACAACAAACACCTTCATACAAACCATCAAAGAACAAGGCCTTAAATACGCTATTTCTGCGTTACAAATATTATAAGTTGTATATAAAGGATTTAGCTATAAAAGTGAAGAAGAACGCGATGGAGGTTAAATGGAACAACACAAGTTTTTCGGATTCCCATTCAAGTTGTGTCTGTATTCTCTGCAAATAAATTAAGAAACAAATCCATGGCCTGACCTCCAAAACCTTTATGAGCTGGCATCTTGACCACCAAAAGCTTTAAAGCCGCCTCGGTAGCAAAATAAAACGACGACTCTCCAGTTACTGGACTTCTGTGCAGTCAATAAGAAAAAAATTAAGGTAGATAATGGCTTCTAGTTTCAAAACTATACCAGTAACTTTACAAAAACATGACCTGGCATACAAGCATTGTCAGATTTTTTTAAACGGGGACACGATTAAGCTCAAGTGTATATTGTGGGAAAGTTTTTAAGGGTGGTGGGATTCATTGGATTAAAGAACATCACGCGGCTCAAAAGGGTAATGTATCTCTACTATTCTACTTGTCTAAGAGTTCAACCCGATGTTCTTCTTCTAATGCAAGAAAGCTTAAATGGGGTTGTAGCGAAAAAGAGCAGAAGATTGCGGAAGAGAGATCAAATTTTAATCCCTCTGGTAATGAGATGGACAGTTTTGCTAGTCAGTGTGGTTTGAATACTGAAGTCCAATTGCTTGCTGTTCCTGATACAGTTGAACCAATTTCAACCTTGTTAGGGAACAGAGAAGATGGCAGCAAAAGTATTGGTAGAAAGAAGAAAGGGAGAGTCAAAAAACCCTCTCAATCCACAACTCCTAACACTGTTACTACAAGATAACTCAAGTTTCTGAATTCAGTTGGAGCTTGAATTGAGAACAACCCCACACTAGTGTATAAATATATATAGATTATAGATACACATGGAACAGGATAGGCATTCTGCTCTTGGTTAAATTCTCATCTTTATTATATCAGATCTTACTCTGTTTCCTTGCGTGTTTCTGAATTACATAGAAGGTGGTTCTAGAAGGCCACGCCTTAACAATTTGACACTCCACTGCTCTCAAACAACATACTAATAGAACAAGGACCAAGACTATCAGTCTCAAAATCACCATAAAACAGCCAAATGACCAAAATTAATAGTATGCACCAAAGGCTATGTAAGGGCATCCCTGCAGGGTTCTACAGTACTCATCTGAAATTCGGCAATTCTTTTTAGTGTTCCATGTGACATCTCTCCTATATGTTCATCCAGAAGGACCAGAACTTATTGCATTTAAATCCTATTTGTAGAGAGCAAAGTAATTTTGGAATACATTGGCATTCTTATTCATGTTGCATCATGATTGTCCGGAACCTGAAGCTTTTTAGCTTCCCTCTCACAAATTTAAATATGCTTAATCTAGTATAATCTCTTGCTCAACACATTGCTAGATACATATTACTTATTTCATGTTCAAAAGCTTGGACCTAAAATTGAAGATTGATGAATTATTGGTTCCCAATTTCAGATATATATTATATGGTATCTCATGAATGGCAAACCCTGGAAGATGAAAATTATCTGCTCAATTAAGCAGTGCCACTCACTAAAATTAGTATTAAGAACAAACCTTGTAAGAATCAACTCGGTGTACATTACAACACAAAATTATAGGACACTAATCCATGATAACAGAAAGTAACAATCTAATTGATTTTGTAGTAGTGAAATTGACTTCATCTAACTAGTGCTTCTGCACATGCTTATGTATTCTCTGGAAATAAATTACAAAACAAATCCATGGCCTGACCTCCATAACCTCTATGAGCTGTCATCTTGACCTCCAAAAGCTCGAAAGCCTCCTCAGTAACAAAATAAAACAATGCCTCTCCGGTTACTGGACTTTCTGCGTATTCAAAAAGAAAAATATTACACGGTTGGTATATTCAATAAGAAAAAAAATACACAATCAGTCTGCAATTAAGCAGAACTCTAAAAAGAATTTGTGGCAGTTAAAACTAACATTGCTCAAGAGCACCACTCTCTGGCATTTTGAAACATCTGCAACCATGGGCTAGGGCCTTTTCTATCCACATTCCAATGCGTTGGATACCAGGGGAACTGCCACATCAAGAAGCAGCGTTCTGGATGAGGCATCATGGCAAGATGCCTCCCATCTGGAGAACAAATTGCTGCCACACCCAAGGGAGAACCATTCAGATTGAAAGGGTAAACTTCTGTTGGTTTCCCATCATCATCACAATATCTTACCGGGGCCAAATTCGACTCAAGCATATGATCCAAAATACCACCTTCAGGGAAATATGCTCTCCCCTCACCATGGGCAGCCCACACACCCAAGGTACTACCTGCCATTCCTTTGAACATTATAGCCGGGGAGTCCTTTATTGTCACACTCGTGAAGCGGCATTCAAAACGTCCTGACTCATTGTGGACAAACCTTGGCTGTGATGGGTCCCCCCCAGCACCAAGGACACCTCCAACTTGGGGCCCAGGAACCCACCCCAATAGAGCCATAAGCTGGCATCCATTGCAAACCCCAAGACTAAAGGTGTCAGACCTATTGTAAAATTCTTGAAATTGATTTAGAAGAGGCTGATTAAATCGTATAGACGCTGACCACCCTTTTGCAGAATCAAGCACGTCAGCATAGCTGAAACCTCCCACAAACACAATCCCACGGAATTCATTCAGAGAAGTGACTCCATTAAGAAGGTCTGACATTGTAATATCCCATGGTTCAAAACCAGCAGCATAAAAGGCAGCAGACATTTCTCTGTCCCCATTGCTTCCTTCCTCTCGAATAACCGCTACTTTGGGTTTTGAAGTAGTGGCAATGTATATCTCGTCTGTAAAGGTCGGAGTGAAAGATAATGCCCATGAAGGTTCATGCCTATTCTTCAACCCTTCCTTCTCTAAATCTACACAAGATGACAATCTTTGAAACTTTTCCAGCTGAAAACTGGTTTCTTCCCACATGTCCCTAAGGTGAGAAGTTTTCCCACTCAAATGAGTCACCCCATCAACTTTTAATTCTATTATGGGTGCAGCAGTTACTTCTCCAATGATCTCAGCAAATATGCCGACACTGTGAAGCTTTCCCATTACCATAGCCAGGTTATTCTTGCTAACCTCAAGAATAAGACCAAGCTCTTCTGCAAAAAGTGTTTGGAAGAGGTTATTCCTTAGTGAAGCTAAGTCCAAGCGGATGCCACAATTACCAGCGAAAGCCATCTCAAGGGCACAAACAATCAGCCCACCGTCACTAATATCATGACCAGCAGAGACCAGCCCATCTGAG